CAAAAGAAAACATTTATATTCAGGTGAGAGCTTTACCGTAATTTTATTTATTTTTTATTTTATTTTTTTTAATAGGATAGAAAGAAAGAAAGAAAAGACAAAGTAAGACTCCAAAATATAAGAAATATACACAAAGAGCACACGTCAAAACACCCGGCCACTGTCTGTTCACCTGCAAAGAACATGACAAAACACAGCAACAAAATACATATGTATAAAGAACTTAAAATATTCATGGCTTTGCAGTAAGTTTCCATAAATATATATATACCCATACCTTCGCCTATATACATACATACATACATACACATGAATATACACTCACATACATATCTATATATCTACATATAATAATAATAATAATAATAATGTCATCACAATGTCAGCACTGTATGTTTCCATACAATGGCGAAATTAGTCTCTGCATTTAACCCATCCACCACCAGGTGGTGCAGTGGGCAGCTATTGAAAGCGCCCGGGGGACATTTTGGGGATTAGACGTGCTGCCCAGAGACGCCACGTGATGTGCAGTGACTGGGGATCGAACCTGGGACTCTCGGGTCCCAAGCCGGCTGCCCTGCCTCTACACCATCTCGGCCCCCAATATAAAGCCTACATAAGCATCCCTGCTTCTATTTGTGTGTGGTTGTGAGCATGCATAAGTGTATAAGGCTTCTCTAATAGAACATTTATTAGTAACTGTGAAGCAGCAGAGACCCGACCCCCAAGACCAAATAAGTTGTCAAAAATATATCATTTAGAGCCAGCAGTTATGTTTTTCCCACTGCATCGATTTTTGACAGCTATTATTTATGTTCTCCTTGTAAAACAGGCCAAAAGAAAACATTTATATTCAGGTGAGAGCTTTACCGTAATTTTATGGAATGAATGCGTAATGTGACATTTTTATCAGATAGAAAATGTCATCTGAAGCCATCATCTATCACATCATTTTGTTCAATACAGTAGTCCCTCGCTACTTCACAGCTCCTTTGTCGCAGATTCGCTTTATCGCGGATTTTCAAAATAAAATTGGACATGACACAGTTGGCTGATTGATGGATGAGCCATGGATTGTTTATTTAAAATAAATTATTTTAAATGATTTTGCACCATGTGTGTAGCCCATAAGTGCAGGGGAAGGCTCCCTCCTGCAGCTGATCAGCTGATTTCCTTCTTTGCCACACATACATTTCTCCTGCTGCAGCTTTGTGACGTCCAGATGCAACCATCGGCTTTTGTCTTCCAACTTAAAATTCAAAGTAAGTCACATCGTAAAATCGTCATAATGACAAAATAGAAAAGTGTTAAGTTATTTTTAATTATTTTAGAACTTCATGTTCTTCTTCATGTATTTTCCGGACTTTAAGTCACACTTTTTTCATAGTTTGGCCAGTACAGCAAATTACAGTCCAAAGTGACTTATTTACATTTTTTTCCTATTCATGGCAAATTTTTTTGACTGAAGCGTTAAATGTTCATTCATAATGACATGAACCAAAGAGTAAACACCATTTGCAACCGCAACCCCCCATCCCCACCCCACACCCCAATCTTCCTCTGGAGTTGGCAGTTGTTCAGATGCGACACTGAGGAAGACAACTTGCTTGTCGGACTTGTTGGCTTATGTTAATTAAGCTTGTTCAGGATCCCAGGTATGTTCTGTGTGTTGTTATTTCAGATTAAACGTCTGTTCTTATACTTTGTGAAATACACGTCTAAATAAATGTGACTTACACTCAGAAGCAACATGTATACGTTTTTTTTCCTCTTCACGAGGCATTTTTTGACTGATGCAACCTATACTCAGGAGCGACGTACAGTCCGGAAAATATGGTAAGTTAAACATTTTTGTGGTGGCTAATGTCAATTAGCCGTGGCAGCCATGTTGAATTGGCTGGACTCCAAAAGTTAATTGTAAATGTGAACCACATCGTTTCTCTACGAGCATCTGGAGGCAATGTGACAAGTGTTGTGGTGGTTAAAACAAATTTAGGTTTAAAAAAAAAAAAAAGGCACAGTGGGAAAGGATGCTCATAATTAACACTAAACGTAACCAGGACCTCATTATGACACGGTAATAAGTTATGACGACCTTTCTGCTACCATTAAAGTAATTACAAGAACACTGATGACTTTTAACACAAATCTTGTGCTGCATGGCCTCGGAGGAGCTGGGAGGACTATGACATGACAACTTAAAACCTCAAACACCCCTTTAAATCTTTAAGCTTGTACATTACAGTAGTCTCAGGACCTGTTTTCAGTGCTGCTGCGCAGGCAGAGAAGCCGGGATGTAAAGCCTGCTGAGTCAGTCGATCTAGCAGACATTCCAAAGGCTTCTTCTCCACAGATGTTTTGGCTTTATAGACAGCATGCAGCTGCCCAACTTTTTCCCCCAGAAGCAACGGAACGAAGGCGGGGTGGGGGGGGAGGTTGTACGGTCTGATGAAGCTCTCCTACACCGACTCAACTCGCTTCACCTTGAAACAAATTAGAGCTGTTCTCGCCCCGAGCGAGAGGCCTTAGAAATTTCACGCTGCCCTACAGGAGCCTGTCAGCCAAGAGTTCACACAGCGGGAGACGACGTGCAGAGATGAGGGGCAGGAGGGGGAATAAAAACAGACAGCGGGTGGAGGGAGGATGATCCCGTGTCAGAGTTTGGAGCAAAGGTGGGAGGAAGCTCTGACACTTCTCAAGGATGAAGGTTAATGGCACAGAAGACCTCCAAGACTATGCAAATAGAAAGAGAAGTGCTGGGAGAAGCATGGAAGAACAAGCAAGGAAACGGGTAGCATCATTAAAGATGACTCAAAACAGAGGGGGTAGATGAAAAACATGAACGATTTAATAAGCTACCAGTGAATATTTTCTCCTCTGGTACATTTTAGGAATTGTTGCAATTTATTTCATGTTCAGAGTTTGCAAACAAAGTGCAGAAAAACCTGAGAGTGTGCATAATGTTGACCAGCAGGATAAGAGTTTAACAAAAATCTGAATTAGCCTACATAACAATGCATTTCTATTTTTTAAGATAACATTGAGAGGCAGTAGATGAATCAGACTGAACGCTGTCTGTATAGTAATAGCAATAATAGTATTAATATATTGACCCGATTACATAAAAAACACAAAATTTGGCCCAAATGAAGTAGATAAGGAGGAGAATGGGGATTAATCTGTGAAGCAGGGAAAATATTCACAGAAAAAATGTTCTTGTTTGATAAATTTTCAAAACCAAGTTCAAACATCTGCTCAAAGAACTGCAGCTTTTGTTACATTCGCCTCAATTTTCATCCCTAGAGGCTTTTCTGACTTTAGGCAAATGATCAGAACCAGAGTTTAACCTTTAATCCATATTCAAATAGTCGCCGAGGTAAAGACTTTATCAAAGCAGCGTCATTACGTTATCACCTGTTTAAGTGTGATCTCAGCTCGTCATCACTGTCACGATGCATTCATCAGCATCTGCTTTAAACGCACCTAATAAGCGCATGCAAAGACGTTCTGCCTCACAGCTTCCACCTTTATGAACATTTCCATAATTGGAGCGCCGGAGCTAAACCACCGATGCAGAAGAACGGAAAGCATCGCGTCGAGCTGTGAGCAGAGTGAGCGCTCGGAATGTGTTTACAGACTGCCACATCAGTAAACAAAGCTGCAACTGAAGCACAGCAGAGCAAAAAAATAAAATATAAAAAAACAGGTGGTAATGTGCCCATTTGTGTGTGCGTGGGATTGGGGTTAGCAAAATATCTCATGAACCACTGGGCAAATTTTAATCAAACAACAAAAAATGGATGTACATGTATATCTGCAACCAATTAACTTGAGTCAATCTGTTAATAGTAAAAAAAAAAAATATTAAAATGTGTTAGCAAAATAGCTCAAACCACTGAATGAACTTAAATGAAAGTTAGGGGGGAAAAAAACACCTAATGTGCAAGTGATTGACTTTTAGAGTCAACTTAACTAAAGATGGCCACCACAGCCAACTGCCCTTAAAAAAATTAGCAAAAATTCTGTTTTTAGCAGAGAGTCATTACCATATTTACCAAATGCTACTTCTTGCACAAGTGCTAAATCTTTTCGTATGAAACCATCATATCAGCCAGTATCTTTATTTGTGAACATGTAATGACCAAAAGCTCTCAGCCCAGCAGTTCAACACTGAGCATTTCAATTATCATTTATATATCAGACTTTGTACTAACTATATTTTAACGCCATTCTTTAAAAGGGATGTTGCGGTTTGGGAAAGTGCATTTCTGTAATTCAACTTTAAACAACGTGTTGGATAATATCATTTTACACAAAGCGAGATATATTTGTAGAGAGTGGCTCAGCTCAATGAGACCTGCTCTTTTTTTTAAGCACAGCAAGAGCACAAAGTGTGAACTTCTAATATTCTGAATCTGCTTCTTTACAAGGTGAAGCTGTAAAAAGCAAACACCAGGGGAAGAACATAATGGCACTTCTTCCAGCTATCTACCGGTAACTGTTAACAACGGTGTACCACAAGGTTCAGTCTTAGGACCCACCCTCTTCACAATCTACATAAGTAATGTTAGTCAGATAGTTCCTGATGCATCCTTACATTTTTATGCCGACAACACGGTTGTTTATTGTCGTGGTAAAACAGTTGCTAAGGTTCTCCAGCTTTTACAGTCTGCTTTCGACATCATCCAGGCAGATTTGTTTCATCTCAAAATGGTGCTAAATGCTGATGAAACCAAAGGGATGGCGTTTTCAAACAGGAAGTTGGTACCAGCAGATCTTCCTTCTATTTTATCTTCAAATGGTGTTTCTATTGAGTTTGTCTATTCTTATATATACTTGGGTTTCTTGATCAATGCACATCTCTCTTTTAAGCCTCGTGTCGAAAACTTGGTAAATAAATTGAAAATAAAACCGAGTTTCTTTTTCAGAAATAGAGTGTGTCTAACTCTGAATGCTAAGAAACAACTTGTAGCTGCTACTTTCCTTCCCACCATCAACTACGGTGACATCATTTACATGAATGCTCCTACAAGCACCCTGCAGATGTTGGACACTGTCTATCACGGTGCACTAAGATTCATAACTGGCTGTAACTACCGTACCCACCACTGCACCCTGTATTCACTGGTTAACTGGACATCATTAACTTCACACAGACTTTCTCACTGGTACATTTTCATCTTTAAATCACTTCTTGGTCTGTTGCCTTCATACATCTCCTCCTACATGTCACTTCCGTCAGTGCAGCTACAGCGTGCGCTCTCAAGACATAATTACCTGCAGTGTTCCCTCAGTGCGGAGTGAACTTAGCAAAAGGGCCTTCTCCTGCTCTGCTCCAGTTTCCTGGAATTCATTGCAAAAGGATCTGAAGCTCTCAACTTTGACCTCTCTAATGGAATTTTAAACAACTGCTAAGTTCATGTCAAAAACCAATGCAGACATGTTCCTGTTTTTAATATTTTACATCGCTTTATAATGTAACTGCTTTTGTTTAGTTTTTATATAATTTTTTCTATTTACTTTTCATTTTATATGCTTTTTATATGATTGTCTACAGTTGTCTGTACCTTATCTGTGTTCTTTGTTTAAAAACAGGTCTCGCTTGTAAATTAGTCCTCAAGGCTCAATGAGACTAACCTGTATAAATAAAGGTTGAATGAAAATAACATGATGAAAATTGTTAGCATATTCCTGTAGGTGGCAGCCTTTAAAATGACCAGGTATTAGGGAAAAAAAAAAAAAAAAGTTTCTAAAAATGTGCAAGTGCAAATATGCAAGTCATGCAATATAATATCCTCAGCCAGCATAAAACCATGCCACCAAGTGCCTATGCAAATGCGACTCGGAGGTTTAGCTAAATAACATTAGATAAAAAAAAGTTTCTGACTGAGCAGTATGCAAAATGAGGGCAGCAGAAGAGCATAAAGGAGGCTCAGCCCATTCATTTTGATGTTTAATGTACAGTCGGTGGAATTTCATGGAGACCAGTCTTCTGAGAAATACAACCTGGCAGAGACCTCAACACAAGTTTAAAAAAGATTTTAAAAAAAGGAAGATCTGAATAGTTTTCTTAAGAGGACAAATTTCTTTTCCACTGTCACCGTAAGTAGGATGTGTGCTCTATTTGTGAGCCACAATACTTCATATTACAAATGTTTTTCTTAAAACTGTTTGTGAAGAATTAAAAGGGAGCGGAAGGCAAAGACACAACCAAGTCATTTTACCACACTCTCCTTCGACAAGTTTAACACGTCGTCGCCATGGCAATGCGAGGCATTTACCACAGCCTCTGCATCAGGGTCCTGGAGGACTCGGCAGAGAGCGGCGTTTTTGTCGTCAACGTTTGCTGCTGCGAGCCCCTGCTGCTGCGGTTCTGGAGCATGAAGCCAGCCTTCTGTAATGGTCAGGTGGAGCAGTCACATGTGACATATAAGGCAGCGGTGGAGATGGATTTTGTTCTACGGGTGATAGACCGCGCGCCGAACCTTCCAAACAGCTACTACTGGGGCCCGTTTGTGTTGGCGCTGTGCCTCGACGCTCTTCCCTTCCAGTTCCGGCTCTCATCTAGGATCCAGTGTTGCGCTGATTTACAAGAATCCATGAAGAAATGTGGTAAACTAACATTGCTACGATATAAGCCTTAAACTTGAGCAACTTCTTACGTCAAATATGATTGTTTGCTCCGAATTGCTGCAAAATCTGCACAAATGTTTGATGAATCGGTTCTTTTTTGGGGGCCAAACACCGAGGTGTGCCATGCACGTCCGCCCAGAGACAAACCGCCACATCACTGGCCTAACCACACAACTATAAACATGGGCAGAGCCGTGGCTGCTATATGATGAGCCAGGCACAACATCAGTCAGTGTGGTGAGGAAAATTAAAGACTAGCAGCCGGAACGGGAAAGTACAAGAGGAAGACGTTACACAAAGAACAGAGGGAACAGATGGAATGAGAAGGAGGCAGCTTTTCAAGAGAACTTTGGTGAAAAAGTGTATAAGAAAGCACTCACCATCATACGTAAAATGACCTCCATCCTTGAAGACAATAACAGCAGGAAGCTCTGACAAAGACACGCACTGTGAAAGACAGAATATTTTCCTTTTAAAATGGTCTTGATCCAAAGCTCTTTGGGCTTTCTGAAGGTCTTTTAAAGTTTTTCTTTTGATTTTGGCTGTTTTTCCCCTTTATTTTCAGTCCAGTTCTTACACCAGATTATTTTATTAGAAATGTTTTTAAGCTTCTTAACTTAAAACTTATAATTCAAACACTTAAATTCAAGGATTTAAAGTTAAAGTTGGCAAAAGAACCAGTTTTCAGTTGGATCTTCAGCACTTGCTGTTACAAGTCTGTCCGAGAAACACAATTACCAGTAGTTCCTATTTTTAGACGCAACTAAATTGCCAATGATAACACAGTCTGAGTGGCTAAATAATTAAAAAGGTTAAACACCTAATGGATGAACTGAGGTGTGTCCCATCCCCTGTCAGATAAGACTCCAGCTCCCCCTTTTTATTCTTCACTTGTTGAGTTTCAACATTTTTAAGGCTTTTATGCAAGATATGGCAAGTTGTTCTAGAATAACTTTTTTTGTGGCAATACACTTTTGTCTTTTGCCTATTTTTGTAAATTCTGCCAAAAAAAATTTTTTTTTTTTTTTTTAAATGCCTTTGCAATAATTTGGTGAAGTTCCTAAAAGTCCCATTTAAAATGAATCATTTGCTCAGTCTGCAATGTGTAAATGCAGCATAGGTCCTTTATGAGCCTTTTTTTTTTTACACCCAAATATTTCATGGATTAAAGAAATTAAATTACCTAAACAAGCAAACATCTTCCTCTGAAGGTGTTCAAGTACTGCACAGAAAATTAATTTTAAACAAGCAGCCAAAAACTCCCACAGAAAACCCTAAAGGAAAGTTGACAAAATACCATTAAAATAGTTTCAAAGACATGAGATGTAGATGATCATGTAGATTTACCCCTGGTAGGGATTCCTCTGAGGCTGAGAAGAAGTAGGTGTAGACGATGAGCTCAGATGCTACATCGTTGTACCTCTCCTGCAAAGATTAAAAATAAAGTTTAAAACATTACCCAAAAGCTTTTTATACATTCAGAGGTCTTACACACAACATGATAATTGTTTTAATTATGTTTAGCTTCGTGTTTGTGCTGAAGGTTGGAATAAAAACATCTTGATTTATGAGTGAGTGACACAAACGGTGTTTACTTTGAGAGGAGACTCCCCACCGACGTACACAAAAAGAACGTCATGCCGTTTCAGCACATGCTCAAACATCTGGTTGCTGGGAAGGGCTCGAACGGCTGGTCTGAAAGAATAAAACACGAAAATTATTTTTTATGAGCATTTTAATCAAAATCTAAACGGAACTTAAATAAAGTGAGGCGTCCAAGCATTATTTCTGTGCCGATGGTGCCACCTAGTGGAGCTTTAACAACAAGCTCTCCTGGACTGAACTCTGGGCCAAGCTTTTGATCATCCCCTCTGTCATGGATCGAGCGTGATTCCCCTCAAGGAGGAGAAAATCTGCCAGGCTTAGTTGATACAGTAGCTTAAAGTGGAGCATCAGAGGCAGAAATCCATTAAGCTATGAAACAAATATGGCCTGCGTTGATAAGCTGGCTTGGATGGATTTCGTTAGCGCAGCATGTGTCCTTTTGAAGTAAGGCAAGTTCTGCTCGGTTCTTAGTTGAGTGTCATTTTGTTTAACTCACCCCGCCACTCTGTTGGCAAACTCTACAATATCATCTTTGGTTCTCGGTCCCTTGTAGCTGTAGGCGAGATCTCCCTTTAACCTGAAAAATGAAGACAAGACAAAAACAAAACAAGAATAAGAGGACACTACTTTAATGTGATTCAATGGAATTGAATTAAATAAATATCTACATAAAATGCCATTGACTGGAAAAGTGGTAAACAATAGTAATTTTGGTTGTATTAAGACAGTTTGTTGAGACAATTATTCTATTTAATTGAGTGTATTCAGTGGTTTCCCCTCATTAAAATGGTAAAGATAAACTTCTTCTAGCTCAAGGGTTTGCAAGCTTTTAGATCAAAACAGCCATTTTTATACTTCTCTTAAACAAACTGTCTAGAGCTGCGCATTATCAGCTGGTGGCTCATGGGCCACTTCAGATTCTTCTGAAGGGGTTTTTGTTTCCAGCCAGTGGGGGTGACTTTATAAGACAAAAATTATATTATGAATTTAAACATTTATTAATATTTTTACATTTTAAGGCTAAAGAAAAGACCACACTTACATAAACGTGGGGAAAAATATATATTTCATAAAAATTTATTTTAAGTCTGCAGGTTTATGCGAGTCTTCCTTTTAATTTTAGAAAAATTAAAATAAATTTGTATCCCACTTTAAAGTAGTAAAGCTTAAATTCAAAGTGTATTTAAATATTATGTAATTGTGACTTGGTGAAATTTTAATTCAAAATTTGTATTTACTTTTACTTTAATTAAGTATATCTATCAATTAATTAATTTATTATTAATCAATCATCATATTTCTTCTAGGCAGCTTGTCCTAAAAAGTATTCAAAAAAAATTCTGCTGGATTTGACAGATTGATCCCACTTTAAAGCCACAAGTTGGAAAAATGAAGTAGCTAAAGCTAAGCAACATTATATTTTCTCCTTGTTTTAATAATTTATTGTAAACATTTGTAGAACAAAATTGCTAAAACTTTCCATTTCTCTTCACTGTGGGTATAAAAACCAATTAATTTACACTTTGCTTTATGTTTGGTCAAAGCTTCAAGGAGCCATATATGACCCCAGAGCCGCAGGTTGCAGACCCCTGTTCTAGCTGCTTTTCTCAGCTTTTATCCAGTAATTTGCCACCCAACACATTCACGTTCTTGTTTTCATATAGAAACACAGAAAAAAATAATGTTGCTTTCCAAAACATAAAGTTACAGCAAATATTTCATTTAATTTGAGCTTATTGTGATTATTGAACTGGACTAAGAAATTTAAAAAAATTGAGTTTTAATCTTTTTCAGATCAAATAAGCAGAAGATCGTTGGTTACGTACTGTAACCCCAGATTCTATGAATATAGGCGTAGCCCTTTAAGGCTGCCGCTGATGGTTTATCCCGTTATGCGCAGCATAAGCACTGAAAAAAATTAGTCCATGCCCACCTGCTGTGTGGGCCCCACCCGGTCCGTATAAATTACGTTAAGAGCGGGAAATCGGCTCCCAAAATAGCTTTTTTCTTCAGCCATTTAGGAGCCAGTGAGGCCCGACGCTTAAAGGGCTACGCCTATATTCATAGAATCTGGGGTTACAGTACGTAACCAACGTTCTATTTCATATAGGCTTCGCCCTTTAAGGCTGTCGCTGATGGTTTAAGGGCGAAGCGGATGTGGTCCTCGCCTCACTGGGTCCATTCGAACACAGTAAGAAGCGGAAGCTTGCCCAAAAAACGTCTTGTCACTCAGCTCCCCGTGTGCATAAACTACGCATCGCGTAATTATGTGCCATGCACAGACGCATGTTGTGTAACTATACGTTCTGACAAACATGAATACCCCGGAAAAACTTTCAACGGAAGAGGAAGTTGAAAAGAGGGGGGGGAGGGGGGCATGAACCAACTGGTTCATGGTTGAACAGTATAAACAGATTAATGTCCATGAATTGATAAATAATCAAATGAACTGATTAGTAACAATAGTCATGAACTGATTAGTGACAATAGAACCAAAATCACAGACACGACTTGTGACTGATAACATCTCACACTGTAATGCATGCAGACAGAAGTGAGCTTAAACAGAGTTCCATGAGAACAACAATATTCATTCTGTTAGAGCACTAAGGACAGAATGTGTCATGGAACGAGCCGTTACATCACGTAGGTAAAAGCGAATAAATGAGCAGGGTGTTGACCATGCAGCCGCAGTGCAAATGTCCTGCATTGACATACCATTATGCAGAGCAGTCGAAGATGCGATACCCCTGGTCGAGTGTGCTTAGAGGTTGACAGGAGGCCCTAAATCTGATGCTCTGTAGGCTTCAGAAAAAAAGGCCTCACACAGCCAGTGTGACAAGCGCTGGATGGATAACGGCGACCTGCAGAAGCATCTCTATAATGCACAAACAATTGTTGAATTTGAACGCATTGCAGCTGTGCGCGTTACGTAACACGTCAACGCCTGCACCGGGCAGAGAAGATGAACAGATGCTTCCCCTTCTGATCTGTGGGGGGGAAAAGAACCCCTCCAACGACATCACTCTTGATTTAAAAGAGCTCGTGATGTTTTAGGCATAAAAGCTGGGTTGGTCTTAAAACAGCTGAGCTGCCCGTCAGCCTAATTCTAAGGCATGACGAAACAACAGAGAGGGCAGATAATTACTTACCCTCTTAGCGGGTGTTAAAACCAGCAGCAGGACTGTTTAAAGAGACAAGAATTTAATGAAAACTGATCCAGAGGCTCAATTGAAGCTTTGATCAGGGCTCGCAGGACCAGCGTTAAATCCCACTGTGGAACAAGTGGGCATGAAACAGGCCTACCTCTCTGTACACCTTTTAGAAACCGCTTCATCAGCGGGTGATTAAAAGCTGTTCTGTCTCCAGACCCTTTGTGGCAGGAAGAGATGACTGCAACGTACGTTAAAGCGTACTGAAAGCCAACTCCCTATCCATCAGGTGTTGTAGAAAAACAACACGCTGCCTAAAAGGCATGAAGTGGTCTCTAAAACTTCTCTGTACACCAGCGCTGAAAAGCCGTACCCTTGATGTGTACAGAACTGTGGTAGATGCAGCACGTGAATCTTGAATTGTGCACACTATCTCCTGAGGGAGACCCATCCTCTAAATGGGACCGCTCAGCGGTCAAACCCACCGGTGTTGACCTATTTCTGGGTAACTCTTGGTCGCTCCTCCTGCCTGAAGGAGAGCATCCTTCCTCCACGACAGTTCCACGGCGACCCCACAACAGACGTTGCAGGCCTGGGAACCATAGTGCGTTCACACGCCGGGAGCCACCAGGAGAGCTGTCAATCCCTCCTCCTGAACTCGGTTAATGGACCGTAAAAAACAGAGGAGGTGAGGGAAAAGAAACGCGTAAAAAGCGTTTTGGGCCACCGACTGTGAGCAAATGCGTCCCCCCCCAGCGATGGATCGTCTCGCGGGCTCAGGGAAAAAACCGTAGTTGACACTGAGCGTTCTTCTCGCGTCGCAAACAGGTCCACAGCTGCTTTGCCAACTTCTGCTGTGTCTGAAAAACATCAGATCCGGATGGAGGATCCGGTCCACATAACGTGGGCCGCCCTTGGACGTCACATCAGCCCCTCTGTTCAGAACATCGGATATGTAAACCGCTCTAATAAAAGCAGGTTTGATGAACCCAACTCAGTAGCTTCCGCGCAATGTGTAACATCTGGGCTGAACGCACACCCCCCTGGCGGTTATGTACGCAGCAGTCACCATGTTGTCTGTGTGAATCAACACGTGTTGATTCTGTAGCACGGGAGCAAAGTGTTGAATCACATTCAGCACTGTGCGACACTCCAAAACATTGATGTGGGCTGATGTGCGGTGGGGCCACAGTGCCCCTACTGCTTGAGATAGGCATGTTCCCCCCCCCAACCTGACAGAGACGCGTCCGTGAAGACTGACACGTGACGTGGGTCTGCTGACGGGGACTCCCTCTGACAGAGCCAGGGTGTTTCCCCAGTGTCGGAGGTCTGCTCCCATGGAGGGAGGGACAGTGATCATCCGTCTCTTTTGTTTTACTGGATCCACACGCAGACGCGTAAACCACCTCTGGAGGCGTCTCATGTGTAACAAACCCAGCGGGACCACTGTGTGAGCTGATGACGTCATTCCCAACAGCTTCATGACGGAGACAGCTGTTACCACTTTGCCAGGTCTTACGTGGCGTAATTGGTTTTTAGAGTGTCGATTCTTGTTGTGATAAACGAGCCGTCATGGTAATTGAGTTTAATTCCACTCCCAGATAACAATTATCTGGGCCGGGAAAATCGAGCTCTTCTTCCAGTTATGGCGAAAACCAGATTTAGCAGGTGTGATGCTAACACCTGAGCCTGTATCAATGCTTCCTGTCTGGAGTGAGACAGGGGCAGCAGGTCGTCCAGGTAAAACAAAACTCTCATCCCTGCTTGTGCAGTGGATGCAGGGCTGTCTCCACACACTTTGAGAACGTACGAGGCGCGAGGGAGTACCCAAAAGGCAACCTGTTGTACTGATACTTCATCCCTTGAAAGGCGAAACGCAGAAATTTTCTGTGTTTTGGGATGATTGGTGTGTGAAAATAGGCATCTTTTAAAACGATGGAGACAAATCAGTCGTTTTCCTGGATGTTGTCCAACAGCTGTCTGTTCATCAACATGTGAAAAAATCTGTTCATGATCGCTTTGTTGAAAGCTGACAGATCCAGAATCGGTCTCATCCCCCCGGTCCTTTTGGGGACCAGGAAGTAGCGTGAGTAAAACCCTGTGTTTTCCTCCTCGTTGGGAACTCTTGAGATTACACCTTTTATCAGAAGCTCTTGGACTTCTGCATTTAAGGCTGAGACTTGGTCTGGTGATGACAGGACCGTCTCTATAACTCCTCCGAACGGAGGGGGTCGGGTTGCAAACTGCATCGTGTAACCCTTGCATAACACTCTGTCCATCCATCTGTCCGGTGAGCATGTTTTTAACCACTCTGCGTGACGTTCGTGGAGTGGACGTGCGTTTAAATGATGTGCCGTGTTTTGAACGGATGTCATCCAAACCTCCGCCTCGACCGCCGTCATGCGTCGCGGAAATGTTTTCCGCG